TATATCACTAGCAGATATCTACTATATTTTCTAATTTGTTCTATATGTTTTAACTAGTTTTTGCTTACTAGTATACTTATTCCTAAGCTCTTATTTTTTTCTTTTTCTGTATCAGTTTAAAAATGATCTATTTTCTCTCTATAATTAAATATATATCAACTCTTTTTTTTTAAGATATTTGTCTCAACTATTTCTATCATATTATACTTTTCTTCTTCAAATTTATTTACTAATATTTCTAGCTTATATCTATTTTTTTTTAATCTATTGATATTATGTACTGCTATACTAATTTCTTTTCTAACCTCTGCTACCTTTATACTTCTCTCAGTTACTATTGAATCTTCTTTCTTATGATTTTGCTTTTATAATTCTATTTCTTGTTATACAAGTTTTTTTTCTTATACAAGATAAGTTTTCTTTATTTCAACTAGTACAAAGTTAGAAGTAATTTGAAGCTTTTAAATTTAGTGTTATAGATAGTATAGCCTTTTTTGAAAAAATCTTTATTTGCTAGTAGGTCAAAAGAATATTCTAAAATAGATCAACAGAATATAAATAATAAATTAGATGAGATATTGCCAGTATATAAACAAAGTGAGAATGATGAAATAAACAATAAATAAGATTTATATTATTATGATATTTTGTGAATTTATATTTATTATTATATGTTATATAACAATGAGCATGCCCTATCAGATTTTTCTGGCATGCCTATAGGCATATCCTATAAGTATATCCCAAAAAACATACTTGTGCTTCTGTGCCTCAAATCCTAGTTCTTTAACCTTTGTTATATCCATAGGATTAAGTCTTCATTACATGTCTATTAGATCCTAGGTATCAATTATAATATTAGCAGCACTCATAGCTTCTTTATTCTGAGGTGTAGTCTTGAGCTCAGGTATTTGTTTGTTAGCTTGAACTGCCTTGAATTCAACTTGAACTCAGCTTAGATTTGGCTTAAACTTGCTTGAATTTAGCTTAGATATGTAAGTAAAACTTTTACATTCTAAATTCAAATTTTTCCTTGGGCTTAGATGTGAAGTGGATACTTCCAAGTAAGACAAATAACTGCCAACTGCCTCTAGGTTAAGTAAATTTTTTTTTTTATGTGCATTAATTAGAAGTATTAGTTAGTATCAATAAGGTAGATGTTTGTCTTATAATTTCAGGGTCTTTCGTCATTTTTCTGAAGTTATAGCAAATATTCATTGCTTCAGTAATAAAGGCATAAGATGCAATATCCATCTATTCATCATTTACATAACTGGCACCATATGTTACTATTGTAAATTGGGAGAGTGAGTAACAGTGTACAGTTTAGCTCCAATAGTTAACATATTAGGACACGATAACATCTCACTTAATCAGGTGGGATTCAAGCATTAATGATAGTTGGGAATAAAGGAAAAGCAAATCATTGTTTTATGTTACTTTAACAAGAAGGATGTTAACTCCTCTTCTCTTTATTAAATAAGACAGTCTGTGCTTTTATACATTTTACGATCTTAAGAGGTCTGACCTGTTAAAGGCTTCGTGCTATCACTTGAGTCTTACATAGCTTTTACACAAACTCAAACTCTAACAGTAGTTAATTAAAAAATAGTTCTAGTGGTAAGTTGCCACTGGATAGAAGATCTACTGTACAGCACTACATACAGTACTCCCAGTCTTTTTAAAAAGTACTAGTATTAATTAAAAAATACACCGGAGGTACTGTGTGAAGAGATAGTTACTATACAAGGGGGATACTACAGAGTATTTTTCAAAAATATCATAATTTACAATTGAATAGTATCCCAATACTATTCAAAGGGAATACTTTTCCAGAGGGTACTGTATGCAGTGCTATATAGTAGTGACATTGTAAAGGGCTAATTTGGCCCTCCGGAAATACTGCACTCTGATGTAGTATGATGTCCTATTTTTAGTTCGAAGATTCTCAAGATTTTATAAGATATTTCCTGTTTCTTGATTTTGGATCATCCGAATTCTAAAAATCCAAAAAATCCTGCTCGTAATTTCCAGGATTATTAGAATCCTAGGAATCCAGACCATAATTTTTAGAATTTTTCAAATCCTAAGGATTCTAACTGTGATTTCTCGAATCCAAATTATTTTTCTATTATTTTTAATTTCTTTTATTTCTGTTATCATGTATTAGTAAAATTATGTATATAAGTGATTCGAAATTGCCTTAATAAAATTATCTCAGTTTTTGAAAATTAATCCTTTCGAATGAAAGGCTCAATATCATATTCTTCTATCCTTAATAACCCCCTCTTAATAATAATAAAACCCTCAATAAGTTAATAATCACCTCTTGACTTATTAGAAATCAGGACTAAAATAAACATACTATGTGACCCTGAAGACCAACAAAAGCCTTAAAACCTAGACCAAATCCTCCACGACCTCTTTCAGCCTTCCAACTTAGGGTTGATTGTTGGATTAGTTATTGTCTAGACCTGAGCCTGTGTGTAACAAAGCCTCCAATCGAATTCAAGCAAGAACTAGTCCTGACTTCTTCAATTAATAGTAACTGTGAGATATGCAATGCTGAATCAACTAATTCTACTTAAGAACCAACCTGTAAGATGAACTAAAGAAACCTGATATTGAAGCTAAAATCTTGAGGCAAGAAGTGAAATAAACCTGCCTGTAAGTCGTAATAATAGAGCCTGGTCTGGTGAGGAATAAGACCTATGCAAAAAGTGTAAAGTGCCTATAGATAATGAGCTATGATAAAGGATAGGGTAGAGTGAGTTAAGCAAGAAACCTACCAAACAAAAAGAGACTAAGAGAAAGATATATCCACACTGGTTAACAAATAACCCAATGAAACCTTGAAACAGATTCAATTATATGAGAATTGTGAAGAACCTTCATGATTATTCATTCTAATAAAAGAAAGATTGGAGTTAGTAAGAGAAAAAGAGATTCAAGACAGAATCAATAGACAAAAAATAAGAAACTACTTACCTCCAAAGAGCCAAATCCGAAGAACAGAATCCAGTCTAGATTCCGGTATCCTGGAATTTCGTCAACATGAACCCACTCCACAAGAATCTATAATGAAGATTCTCAAGATTTTTGGGCCCCAAGAAAGAAGTACCTATAAGACGCAAGATTAGTAAATACTGCGCAAGGATTAAAGAGAAGTTCAAGATAGAGAAAATGTTAAGAAAGGAAGACAACTAAAAACAATTTGGATGGAAAGAAGAAGGGAAACATCCGCATTACTTATCTGAATAAGTCTTAAAAAAAAAAAAAAAAAAGCTCTAGTGTAATGTCAAAGCGTATCCTGATAAACCTTGACAAGTCTTGAAATTTTATGCATGGTACGCATAAATTAATGAAGGGAGAATTGTAAAGGGCTAATTTGGCCCTCTGGAAATACTGCGCTCCGATGTAGTATGATGTCCTATTTTTAGTTTGAAGATTCTCAGGGTTTTACAAGATATTTCCTGTTTCTTGATTTTGGATCATCCAGATTCTAAAAATCCAAAGAATCCTGCCCGTAATTTCCAGGATTATTAGAATCCTAGGAATCCGGACCATAATTTTTAGGATTTTTCAAATCCTAAGGATTCCAACTGGGATTTCTCGAATCCAAATTATTTTTCTATTATTTTTAATTTCTTTTATTTCTGTTATCATATATTAGTAAAATTATGTATATAAGTGACTCGAAATTGCCTTAATAAAATCATCTCAGTTTTTGAGAATTAATCCCTTCGAATGAAATGCCCGATATCACATTCTTTTATCCTCAATAACCTCCCCCCCCCCCAGTGATGGTAAATGACTTGAAATGACCCAAATGACTCAAATGACTAATGACCAGTCATTGGATCATTTCAAAAACCTAATGACCTGCTATAGTCATTTAAAATATCTATTAAAAATATAATTAATTATACATTAATTAATTACATAAATAAAATACAAATACGCAGCATAACTGGCTATATCAAATAATTTTTATCATTTTAAAAATATATAAATTCCATAAATATGTAGGTAAAATAGAAATAAAAAGTCACAAATTAACTTTTTTATCAAGCCGCAGGTTGTATAACAAATCTGAATCCATATGGGTGAATCTAGACCAAAATATAAAATGTTATTACATCATATATATTAGGGTTCAAGAATAATTACACATATTTAAAAATCATATATCGTTAGAGTTTTCGATATACGTACTAATTAATCAAATCTATGTAAGGTATTATAAATACTAGTAGTACAGATTTTATGCATAGATCAGCAAAATCGTTAAATTTATTAGCGAAGACTAATGTTAAAAAAATTACTTAATCTCATGTGCCAACTATATTTTTTAAGCAATTTATAGATTAAACAATCAGTTTAATATAATTAAACAAAGCTATAGATTAAAATTTTTATTTTTATTTTATTTTTTATCATTTTTTTAGCTTGAATAATACATAAGAAGTTTTTTTTTAAAATTTAATTAAAAATTTTAATCTATAGCTTTGTTTAATTATATTAAACTAGTTGTTTGATGTATAAATTGCTTAAAAAAAATATGAGATGAAGCAATTTGTTGAACATTAGTCTTCGCTAGTAAATTTAACGATTTTGCTGATCTATCGCTATGTACTACTAGTATTTATTAATACCTTACATAGATTTGATTAATTAGTATATCAAAAACCCCAATATATCGCTATGCAGGGCTGATGATTTTTTGCGATGATAATTTTAAAAAATTATCAGCTTTGGATTTATGTACATATATAGATAAGTACAACTAATACAGTAATAATTTATAATGTAATATGTACAGTATACTAATTGCTTTTCTATTATTTAGGGTACTACGTATAAATTATTTTCTGTATAAATAAATTATTAGCACTAGAAATTTAAGTCAGATTAAAGCACTTCTTTATTTTAACTGCTAAAATTTTCAAAACTCCTACGATTTTTAATGCCAATATAAACTTCATTACATTTTATTGAATTTATTGAAGAACAAAAGAAATAGGCGAATCTAATGAATCATTGAATAACTCTAACAAATTCCATTTTGCTGATAAATCATCTGCTGGGTGAGTAGTATGCCCACCAAATTCAAATTCAGGTAGTTCATCATCTACAACTTCACTATTCTCTAACCGATTTTCATTATCTAACATTCCAATCCAGTTCTCAATTACATTTGACCAATTCTCTTCTTCATCGGAAGATTCATCCTCATCAGTTACGCCTCTTTCAGTCACTTCGGTCATTTCGGTTACTTCGGTCGCTTCGCTTACTTCAGTCGTTTCAGTTACTTCAGTCGTTTCGGTTACTTCAGTCACTTCACTTGGCGAATTATCAGTGGTTGGTGAACAAGTTTCATTGTCACTTACATATGATTCTTCCAATTCTTGCGCAAAATCTTCATTATCATCCTGAGATCGAATGGGAACTGCGATGTGAATTCTTTTGTATTGTCATTCAGATATTTCAATATCACTACGTTTTCGCTTGCTTAGTATATCACCACGCAATTGGCTCATTGCTAGCACTTTTTCATACTTAAAATAACAAATCTAAATTAATACCATGAAAAATTAAAATAAAATAAATATTTGTACATACTGGCAAACGATTTCGGCATTTCGTATGCAAAAAACCCATAGTTGACCATAACCTTTCAACCGAAGCCGAATTAACGCATATTCCAAATAATTGTAAAGCTAAACGAGACAATTCTGGCACAATACCCTTTGCTGAATCCCAGAAATCGATAACATTTTCATCAAATTGATTGTAAGTCTCTTTATTAAAAGGAAATACTTCCCTCTGATATGATAAAAATTCACGTAAAATATGCATTGGTACTTCCTTGAACCATACATGGTAATAATAATACAACCACTGACTAAAATGTGTATAGGAAAGACTGGTAATGCGAGAAGAAAACCTGGAAAGCCGATATTTCGGATGCAAAACGAATGATAGTAGGAGTAATGGTTGTTCCTATTGAGCCCACCGTTTTTCTAATCGGGCAACCATATGATCTGCAAAATCTTCATCTTTATGGTTTGAAAAAACCTTAATAAGCTATCCAAAACAATGTACGATTTCGTATAGTCTCGCAACATCTTTCTGGAGTTTATTTAGCACACAACACAAAGGAAATAACAAATCCTGAAGTTCACAAAGTTGATCCCAAAAATTGGAATTTTGTATGATTAATATAATATCGGATTGAAGCATTCTGCTTGCATTAGAATTTTCTGTCATAAATCGTTGGCGTGAAAGTCCACTCCGAGAAGTGCTAACTGATCCGATTCTAGTAGGTGAAAATTTTGTTGCAAGTGTCTAATTAAATAAATACATAGAGCTTTATTAATGGTTCATAATTGGCGCCAAAATTTTCTTTGTAAAAAATTTTAATTTATTTATAAAATATATTACCTTAAGCGCAGCCTCGGTTTTTAATATAGAATGAAAGCAAAAGTAAATGCTATTCCAGCGTGTCTCAACCGGGGAAAGAAGAGAGACAGTTTGTCCATAACATGACCTTTGCTCATCTTGTAGTAACCCAGTGAAATAGGGAGACGAATGAAAATAGCTTACAACGCGTATTGCGTTTTTCAATGTTCTTTTATATGCATCAGATTCTTTGAATATATCACCAACAACTAAGTTCATTTGATGGGCCATACAAGGTATAAAAACCTTATTAGGATATTCAGTTCTTAGTTGTCGTCTATATAAAGAAAAAAAAGTTTATAATAATCATTAAAAAATAATTCAGATGCATATCTATAAATATAAGCACATTAATATATACTGTATTTAAGCATACCTTGCCGCTGCATACTCCCCAGCAGAATCTGATACGTAGCAGTTAATTCGAATACCTTCCTTCTCTGCATTATCCATTACACTTTTAATAAGAATTTTTACATTTTCGGTTTTTGACCGTTGATTACTGATATTACATGCGTTCCAAATTAAAGGTATACCCTGAGAAGTAATTAAGACAACACCAAAAAGGTGCTCCTGTTTTATGTTTTTCCAACCATCGAAGGCTGCAGTTACACCAACCCCATCTGCACGTGTACATTCTAAAATATCTTCAGCTAACTTCGTTGAAACCTTTGGAAGAATTCGACTACTTATCGCCCGCTGATTAGGTAGTGTCAAAGTTGGCATTATAAAATGAAAAAGATCTTTCGTTTCTTGGTTTTCCATAAAAGTAAAAGAGAGACCATTTGATACAATCATACGTAAGATCAAATTCTCGAAATGCCATTTATCCTTTTCAGATAGTTGACGTATAATACAATTATCAAGAGTTAATTGTCTTTTTTTTGAAGTAGGGGAGCTTGCGGATGGAGTAGATTTATTAGACGATAAAATGGATTCATTAGTTGATAATGATGTCTCAGAAATAGTGGTAAAAATTTCATCTTCGCAATCAGAAACGTTTTTGCCTGCTATTAACAATAATAATTAATATATTGTACAAGCACCTATAAAATGAACGATTTAATATAATTACCTTTACTAGTTTTCTTTTTAGAATCTTCAGGTACCGAGCATGCAAGAATCTCTAAAACTTCGTCCGCTGCATATTGTTCTTTAAAATTTGGGCAATTTCGAAGATGACTTCGACATAATTTCGCCTTATTGGAAACAAAGCATTCAGGCTTCGTAATCGCCACAGGTAAGGTATATTTTCGTACACATGAAAGGCAGACCGCCTTCTTATTCGCTTTTGGATTGTCAGGTGTAACCAAGTGAAAAAATTCCCGGAAGTTATGATTTTTCTTCCCCATTGTAAAAAAAAGTTACGGATATTACACATACAAATTTCGCGACACTCTACGTATTTAACAAGATGTATAAGATATCCAACGTGATATTGCAGCAGGAATCTTATTTCCATTTATGAAAGCCTTCTTTTTTTTCCTTTTTTTTCTTTTTTTTTTCTTTTTTTTTTCTTTTTTTTTTCCTTTTTTTTTTCTTTTTTTTTTTTCTTTTTTTTCTTTCTTTTTTTTTTTTTTTTTTTCTTTCTTCTATTTTCCTCCTCTTTTCGCACTACTAACTACTATATATCTACAAGTTTTGGATTATTGCTTATGATGTATGATTATTACTTATTAAAATTTTCAAGAGAGTAATTTTAAACTCAATAATTTGTTGTTAGGATTGAATTTTACATCTTTACTTATTATTTATTACGTAAAAAATAATAAAAATCAGATCTTATTTTCAACATAAGAACGTAATTGTCATCTTATATATTTTGTACAGTTCAATTATGAGCCATCAAAAACAATCGCTTTAATTCATATTATTCATTTTGTACATGATTTCCCGTAATACAGTACATACATGCAGGGTTTAAAATTCCGCACAAGTATTGTTATTCTATTTTTTGTGCATTTTGCACAGCCCATTATTAATTTTGTGCAGATAACAATGCACAACGAATTTTTAACACTGCATACATCGTTTTCCGTGTTCAAATGTCATAGCGATTTTAGTGCTTGATTAAAAAAGGTTATAACATTACAGAAACGTAGTGGCTAGACCATTATTGACTTAAACCCATGGTATTTAAAATTAGTCACGGCTTGACTAATTAGCTAAGTTAATTCATGATTCACAAATTAGACTCAAATCTAGAGATGCGATCCGTTCAATAATTTATGTATTATCTATTTTTAGATAATTGATTTTAGAGTAAGATCGTCAAACGGATCGCATCTCTACTCAAATCGTTTAATCAAGTTAATTTGTTCATGTTTTAAATTTTAAATAAACGATTTTTTGATTTGTAAATATCAACGATTAATTGTTGTGACAAATTTAGATATTTATATGTAAAAAAGTTTAGTACGTATGCACATTCATTATACTGATATGCTAATTTTAAACATATTTAGTATGTAATAGCAATAGAAGATTTAAAGCTAAAATTAGAGCAGAAAATCGGTGTATATAAAATTACTGCGTATAGAACTGTACCAAATTATAGTATATTAATATATGCTAAAAATTTTGCTATGAATAACTTACACACTTGTGAATACGTTCAGTACAATCTAATAAAAATCTCAATTTTGGTTAGATCATCTCTAAACCCTGATTTGCTATGAAAAAACCCATATGTGATATTCAAAAATTATATGAAAAGCATTACGCAGGTTTTTCGTGGCCAATAGGATATCAATTCTATATATAAAAATGACCCAATGACCAAATGACTGCGGTCATTTGGAAATGACCGCAGTCATTTGGTCATGAGTCATTTTCAAATGATCTAAAATTTGAATGACCGATAATGACTAGTCATTTTGAAGTCATTTGAGGTCATCTGAAAAATAAGCAAATGACTAGGTCATTTACCATCACTGACTCTTCACTTGATCTTATCTTCTTAAATAAACTACAATCTATTACAATACTACCTCTGATATTTATAGATAATACTGTTTGGCATTGTGAATCAAGAGAAAACCTTCAAGTGATTCTACAAGATATCTCTAAACTTTACTAACTCAATAATATTCAAGTAAATCTACTCAAATCAGATCTTCTTTATATATCCAAAACCAAGATTCCTCAAACCAATACTACTTCTAACTATTCCTTACTCTTCAAAAACTAACAAATTCTACTTCATAAATTAGATAAAACTATAAGATACTTAGGTATCTTTTTGAATAGAAATAGTTCTTCTAAATCTATAATCAATATCATCATTAACAAAATAAATTAATTCACATATCTTATTAAATTCAAAAAACTCCTTCCTATATATATATCAAAATTATTTAATATCATCCTTTTACCAGCAATTAAATACCTCTTCCAAATCTGTTCTTTATCTCAGAAAAAAATTAATTAACTATCAAGCATTCTAACAAAAAAATACTAAACATAGCCTTTATCTATCAACAAACACAAACAATGATATCCTCACTAATCCCCAACTTTTTAACATACCAACACTTAATAAACTACTTCTACTAACAAACAGTAGTAATATTAATAGATGCCTCAACTCAAATACTCTTCTAACTCAAATTACTCTCTCACATATCAAAGAATAGCTAACTAAGATTTGGCAACTAACTCTGACAAAAAAAATCATTCTTTCAAACTAAAGAAAAATACTAAACTTTACAATTATTAACCAACTAATTTCACTATACAAAAATGATATATCACTTAATAACCTCTCCTTTGATGATCTACAAAATATAAACCAAATGTATTAACTCAACTCTATATACAACTTCTTCTCAAACTCTAATACTATGATAATTCTAAGTCTTAGAAATAACCAAATTCTATTCCTTGAACAACTTCTTACTGCAGATAATCAATTCCTTCTTTTATAAAAAACTATTTATTTCAGAACCCATAAATCTCTTTGTAGCCCAACTCCTAAATAGTACAAACAATTAGCAGATCAAGCAATATTATTACCTATACTAGAAATCTGGTCTAATACTAAACTCAATCTAATAAATCTTTTTCTAAATACTCTAAA